GAAGTCCTCCAGGCTTAAAGTTGCCAAGGTTGGACACCCCTGGTGTATTGTAACCTCCCCTAGTTTTTGCAGAGAGTCCACAGAAGTGCTCAGTTTATGCTTACCACAGTTTGCCTCATCTGATTTGTCCTTACAGTCAAAGCTTCCATCACACTGCCAGCGCTGGTGGATGCACTCGCCACTCCCACAGTGGAACTCCAATGGAGAGCACGGATTGGTTTTGCTGGCTCTCTGCTGGATCCCACAGACCTCGGGTGATTCATCAGATTCATCTTTACAGTCTGCTTCATTGTCGCAGGCCCAGAGCTTGGGGATGCACTCTGAGCTATTGCAATGAAACATTTCAGGATTGCAAGTTGGCGCACGACAATCTAATTCATCACTGCTATCGCCACAGTCATCATCTTCATCACAGAGAAAATCAAAAGTAATACAATTCCCATTTTGGCATTGGAATTGATTATCTGTACAACGTTTAGGAGCTAAAAAGGCAGAAGACAAGATTATCAGTCACAATCTACATCTACAATGGGATGCAAACATTACAAATGGGTTATTAATTTCTCTTTAACAGGACACCATCCATATATGTTTTATGCTAAACAACTGAGAGGCCTTTTTCTTGAAGTGCACACCATTTTTCACGGATTCAAAACTGTCTTCCTGTTTTTCTTTTACCTGTCCAAGATAGACTGCAGCAGATGATTGCAAAAACCTTGAAGTCTCCACTAATAAATATGGCAGATGGCAATAAGTAACCTTTTAGCTTCTATGCTCTAAAATGCAAGGTTGATGGAATTTGAAAATCAAAGTCTACAAGACACAATAGGACACATTCTTTCTTATCTTTAAAAGTAATAGAATTCCTAATCTCTATTCCTGTTGCTTTTACTATAATTAACATAGCATCCTTCATTAAATGTGACAGTAGCGTGGCACCATTTGCTTTTATGATGCCATTATGACACAATCCCTCCATCACTAAGTCATGCAGCTCTGACTTACGGCAGTTGTCTTCATCTGAGCCATTGTCACAATCCACTTCCAAGTCACACCGCCAGGACATATCAATACAACGATTGATGCGACCGCCACAGCTGAACTGGGCTGAACTGCAAGTCACAGATTCTGAAAAGATACATACAAACCCTGATTGTATTACACTGTATCCCATAGTCTTATGGTACTAATTAGCCTCAGCAAAGAGATCCCTTAGTCTTAGGGTTGTTGTTCACTGGCCAAAGAGCCTGGGGGAGATAGCACAAGTTCCGGCATGAGAAGTCAGTCAGATGAGCAATGCTCTCATTTAGCAAGTACAGCACTATATAGGAAGTAAAGTGAGTAAGGAAGAGGACCTTGATGTCATTCTGCAGAAATGCAGGAACTGTTACCTAGGCAAAAGAGGCGGCAGCATTTTTTAGTCACAAAACAAGGTAACATTTGGAAGTGGCTCAACACTTGCCCAATTCACTGAACTATGAGAAGGTGGAGGTACTGCAGAATCATTTACAAGACTGTTGATTTCCTGGTCTGGTCTATCTAATGGATAGGCATAGAAACTCAGCTCTCCTGACATGAAACAGTATGGCTGATCCTTAGAGGCAATAATCTTCCTTTCAATACCATTGCCACCATGCCTCCCTCCAATTTTTCCCTTCAAGAACTTTAAAGCATATTACAAGGTTCCAGGTCCTTCCATCCTACCTTCTGAGAAGGGCACTCTTGCATTTGGGAGAAGATGTCACTATCCCACTCTATTATGCTTTGCTCAAAGATATTCTCTATTAAGACTTAATCACCTTAGTTCTCTACCTCTGAATCTTAAACGTCATCTATTCCATCAGCTGGATAACAAGCTGCAGATGAAAACTCTTGGCTGCAGGCTTGGGGAATGTCAATAAAATCTGAAATCTGTACAATGAATACATTTTTGATGTACCTGGATATTTTAATCAAATTATGAATACAATAAAGGACTTGGAACTTCATGTTTCACTACAAAGGTCAGGATTAATGATGCAGGGAAATTTAGTCTAATATGCTGCCTACATTCAAGATCAGCTACAAGTTTCAAGATGGCTTCATTTCAAATACTTTAAAGAGCAATGTGGAAGGAAGGCTAATAGTTTTAAACATTGCAATCATTTACGTAAAACAAATTTTGCCATGTCATCATGATTTGCTAGCATTCACAGAATTTTAAAAAATGACAAAGCTATTTCAAGTCTGTCCTCAGCATACGTAAAAAAACCATTATGGTTTCTTTTCTGTTTTACAAAAAATCCCTCCTCTCCAAAGTCTTTTTGAAGGAGTGAAGTCCCACGTCATGAGACACGATGAAGCTAACAGGGGTAAACCTCATCTTTTGTTTTTAATTGTTCCACTTCTCCTGGCAATAACCTTCTATTCCTCCTTGAAACAAGCATCTTCTTCTTTGGGAAGAATGCATTTTATGGTCCATAGATACTTGGACATTAGGAGGAGGGCAGATCATAATTGGTAAAATACCTGCTGAATACACACATTACAGTAAGCCAATATGTAACTTACCTATTTTTGATTTAACATGTTGTGTGAATTCACTTTGATCAACTCACTAGCTTACTGCTTAGTACAGGGGTTTCAAACTCAATTTCATTGAGGGCCACATCAGCATTACATTATGGTTGCTCTCAAAGGGCCAGGTGGGTGTGGCCAGGTAGGCGTGGTTGGGTGGGCATGGCCAGCTTGACATGGCTGGCTCAATATCACTCACGCCTGTGGACTTCCGGTTTGTCGGCTTCGCGAGCGGCAGGGATTTGCGAAGCTGCGCGATCCCTGCCGCGCTAGCCGTTTTTGGGGCTCCGACCCAGCCGGGTACGGAGCTAGGCTGCCCTGCAGGGGCAGCTGAAGGTAGGGGGGATCCGGAGAAGGGTTTGGGGGTGCTGCAGACCCCCTCCCTGGCCGGCAGAACCCCCTTTTCCCAGGACGGTGCAGCGGCGGTCCGTAATGGCCGCCACAAAGAAGCTGGCAGCCGGGTAAGAATGCGCAGGAGGAAGTGGAGAAAGTGATTGAGAGGAGAAAGTTTTTCTTGGCTCCTAGGACTCTAAGACATATTTAATAAAATTCCTGAAAAGTATGACTTTCTGAATAATACCTGCCAGAAGAGGAAAAAAGCGGCTGCTGGAAGGTGCTGAAAGGATAGCTTTCCCTCTTTTCCTACGGAATAAATAACTGGATATTAAGAAACCTATTTTTTTAGGTGGAAATTGGTTTTAAGCGATGAGTGGGAAGAGAGAGGATTAAAAAGAAAATATTTGTATGCTAAGATTTGTTGGAGCAGATGCCTTAAGGATTTGAAGACTAGAATATATTGTAACAAGACTTTAAACAGATTTGGACTTTCTTTCTCTTTGATTGATATCACCCCAGAAGGAGAAAGTGAGAACTCTGCCTTGGTTTGGACTGATTGATAACTTTGGGACTGTTTTATCTTTTTTATTTTCTTTTGAATATTCTGGTTGTTGTAAGAAGAAAGAAGGAGAAAAGAAAAGAAAAGATTTATAATGGCTCTTTCTGTTGAGGAACTAAGAAATGGTGTGGAAGAAGCTTTCCTTTTCTTAGAAATGGCGCTTACTAATTATCAACAAAAATTACAACAGATGAAGACAGCAGAGGAACAAGAAAGAAAGGAAGGAGCCATCTTTAATGAATCTCAGAATTTGATCCAGAAAAAAGGAAGAGAGAAAGAAAAGAAAAGAAGAGAAAAGAAGAAAACTAAAGGATTTAAGGACTTAAGATCTAAAAAAACATTTAAGAAAGGGAAAAATAAAGTGCAAAACCAATATGATGATTGTAAACAAAGGGGAAAAGAAATACGACAGAGAAGGGAAGCCGGTAAGGCAGAGGCTAGAAGAAGGGGGGGTAGAAAGGTTTGTTGGGAAAAGAAAGAAAGGGAAAAGGTGGAGAAAAGCTACAACGTTTTGAAATTAAATGGAAAAAAGGAATTTTTTATGGATAATGGATAAAGTATAATTTAAAAAAAAAAAAAAGATTTTGCAAGGTACATAAGATGAGATGGTAGTATTGCAATGGTTTAAGAGTTGATAAGAGATTAAAATGTTAAAATGTTTAAAAATGATTGGTTTTAAAACTTAATAATAGGAGAGGTTTAGAATATTGTTTTAATTAAAGAGTTTAATAAAATTATGGTATTGATGTTATTATAAAATTTTTATTATAGTATTTCTTTTTAATATTTGGATTTATTCTCTAATTATGCACTTAATTGTGTTGGATGTATTAGTTAGATAGAATGTACCAAGCAAAATCTGATTGGGTATTAGATATTATTTTAAAGATTAATTTGATTAACTTAGGGGGGAGATAGAAAGGCATCATACTCTGATTAATGATTTCAGGAGAAACTGATTTTCTTTTTTTTCATAAGGGATGAGACAAAGGGATGATAAAAAATGGACAAAAGATACAAATATAATGATTTAAACTAAGATGATTAATTAAGGTAGAATTAAGAAGTGTGAAATATGTGGAGAAGTTAATATAGAAGGCTTAGAATGGTAAATAAAATAAGTAATGATATGTAAGATGAGCATGAATATAATTGAAGTCCATGAAGAGAGAGACACCTGGGTCCAAGTTACTTTCCAAAAAGATATTTTTTTTATGTTTTGTGTGTTGTGTGTATATGTCTTTTTTGGGGGGAGAATTGGTAAAAACTTGTAGAAATATAGAATGAGAATAATGGTAACTAAGTCAGAAAGAAACAGATGAAATAATAATAATGATATTGAATAAGAGTAAAGAGAAGTAAAGAGAAATTGAATAAGAGGTTTTGGTATATTATATGGAAATGGTTTAAAACAGAATCATAATTTATCTGACTTGTTAAATTTACAAGGGAAAAAGGTTTAAACATGTAATGAATAATGATAATTTGTGTGTTTTAAAAATTAATAAAACTTGTTTTAAAAAAAAAAAAAAATATCACTCACGCCTGTGCAGGGCCAGGCAAGGCTGGGAGGGAGGATCCAGAGGTCTTCAGCGGAGGAATACAAGACCAAGACAAACGCCAAAGCCTTGCCATCCCCCGGATTGTCCCCCCACCCCAAGCAGCAGACAGGATCTGGCTTGTGGGACGAAAGGGAGGGGGGGTTGAATGGTGCTGGGGCACAGTGGGTGGGCAGCTGAACTGCCCATTTGGTTTTAGGCCAAAGGCCATCCGCAGAGGCAATGGCAGTGGGGAGGGGTCAAAATGGGTAGCCCTCGCTCACTGCTGCCTTCCCATTGCCTGTGATGGACTCCCATTTTCATCCCCATCCCTGTTGCAGTTTGTGTAGTTTGGCTGTCTCCCCACCACCGTGCCTCAGCACTATTTAACCTCCCAGGCACCCTCCCCACCCACGCACAAGCACCGATGCCCTGCCGGGGGCCCCAGGAATCAAAACAGCGCAGGGCAAGAACGTGGGATGGCACCAGATATCCGTGGACAAGGACGGCTGTGCCCCATAGAATACCACAGCTTGAGCAGAGAGGTGGCTTGTCCTTTACTATTTCCGAAGCAGCCCTGCAGGCTACATCTAACAACATTGCAGGCCGGATCTGGTCCGCAGGCCTTGTGTTTGACATGTCTGGTTTACTCTACTGAGGAATCATAGCAAGCTGTAGTTTATTTTGAACAGCTTAGTTAGCAAAGGCCTCTACAAAAGATAATAAGAGATCCAGAGCATATTCTTGTAGGCACAGGCACTTGAAGACTGTCCCTTCATGTGTGGCTTTTGGGGAGATTGGAAGAGGAAAATTTGCTCAAAATTAGCATTAGCAACTTACTGCAGGCATCCAGGGATTCATCAGAACCATCCTGGCATTCAGGGTTGCCATCGCAGATCCATTTGTAAGGGATGCAATATCCATTTCTGCATTGAAATTCATTTCTTCCACACTTACTCCACTCTGCAAAAGTTTCATTAAACATTAGAAAGAGAAACCATCACATTCTGACTTCAGTCCTCACCTGCATATGGAGAATTTCTTACCTGTAAATTAAACAAACTTATTCATATTTATCAGTACCTTCACCACAGGCTATGAATCCAAGTTCTATTTTATATATAACTATGCACACCACAACTTTTAAAAGTAATCCTAAGTGCACATGCATCTGTTCCCAACTCCATGAAGGTAAGAGACCTGCAGACAAGAGACTGAAGATCTTACCAGATTTATCTAGAATTAGATATTTCTGATTGTACCCACAAGCAAACTGATAGAGAGCAAGGCGAGTTGAGACAATAATAGCGGGGAGATCTATCTGATACAACTGGAGGAAGAACTGCACTCACTGACACAGTGCACTCTTTACATATGGAAATTGAATCTCCTGAATGTCTAGGTTGGCCAGGAAAAGCTACATCTGAAACTCTGGGCAATAGGTACCCACAAGGATTGCTGATGTGGCCCAATGACCCAGTTTAAAGCTGCAGCTTGTGATGAGGCTGCCTTTTGGGCTTCTACATGAAGCCATGAAGCATTGAGAGCAGCTTTCATTTCAATGAAGCTACGCCCTCCTTTCTCTGGCAGCTATGCAGCAGTTCTGGCAGCAGTTCCATCCCAACTGTATTTTGTAGAGTTTTGAAGTCTGAAAACTGGAGAGCTACTTTCTTAGTTGCTGAAGTATGCCAGTTTCTAATGGCCGAGTTTGGCTAGCAGTATCTTCAGCAGGATCAGAAGCTCCAAAGTCTTCTTCAGTGCCAGGGCTGACCCTTTGAATGTGCTAAATTCAAATAAGACACCACCTTCCCAGAAACCTTCAATATGAAACAGTAGAATAGAGAAATGGAGGTACTGTAAGCTCTTCTCCCAACAGAGCTTTCCAAGCAATTATTAGGGCTTAACAAAACTCCAGCAATCATGTATTAAGGCTGGGGAAAGTTGCAGATTCAAAAACATTTTATCCTTCAAAATTGGATACTTATATAGCTACATGAACTTTTTATATTTTATTAGATTTATTAGATTTTATAGTCTGGCCTATAGTAAACAACTCTCCGGAGCTATTGTAAATGAGCCTGGCCTGCATTATCCAGTATCAATTTACGGCTTCCATAAACCATTATCTCCCAAATTCAACCCATAGCCTCACAAAATACTCTAGCCTCTTATCTGTATTTATTTTATAAAGGGCATTCTGGAATGATGAGTTTGCAGTTGCTCATTGCTAAAGGATGGCACTAACCAGGAACCTATTTCTACTGTAAGACACACACCCAAGTCCTGTTTTCCTGGCCAGACTATAATGATTAATCCAGTAGGAGTTCAGATTAATTCAGTTCTGTAGTGAAGTGCACACTGGAGTTGGCGAATTTCAACTACCTATTCTGGCTTCAGAGATGTCAACAGATCAACAAATCACACAGACATCACATTCAACTGCAGCTTACTGGGGAGCACTTGCCTTCAATTCAGTATGTTTGGGAGGCTAACAAGTTTAGCAGCAATGCATCTTGCCCAGCCTAGCATGTGGTGGAATTGTAAAGCAGCTCCACCAACAAGGCCAGAGGATTTTGTAATTGGGGCAGCATCACACATCTATCCTCCTGGCAATGCAGTGTGCACAAGTCAGGAGTTACACTCTTATGGAAGACTTTTGTCAGGAGGAAGAATTTCGCCTGCACACACTTTGCATTCCCTTCATATATTCTGGGCAGATCAGATAGACCACCATACTTGTCATTCTTTACACATGGTTATTTTCTCCTTTCCTCTCTTGACTAGAATTGTGCTTATTCATAAGGCACAAATATTCTTTGGGGATTGAAAAATATGATCCTTTTCTAGACCTTCCTGCCAAGCTCTTCTACCCAAATTACACTGCTTCAATCTTGAGTTCTAATTTTACTCTAGGACACCTTTCTCTAACCCACAGATGTAAAACTTGATCGTGTCATGTGACGTATCATGACATTTGTGGATGTCACCTTTGCGGAGCCGGGCTGGGCGTGGCCTCCACGTGACACATCCAGCTCTTGGGCTGCCAGTTTGATACCCCTGCTCTAATCTAATGCTTCCACATAGGCTGGGAATTCTGGAGCTTGCAACCCCAACACATAAAGGCTATTATTGAATACCAAATTTTGCCAACAGTTTCCTGATATTACAGCTTGCCAAAGTAAGATTCATGTTAGTTTGTTGTGGTAAAATAATATCATCTATA